TAAATGCAACACAAAACCTACAGCAATTAGGTATCAGAGATGATCCAATACATGGTCTTATCCATAACAAAACATTTTTGACAAACTACATTATCAAGCAAAGTAGCTGCAGTGTTTCCAAGGCCTCGCACATCATGCATGACACAGACCCATTATTCGGAGACAAATCTCAAACCTGCTCGTCACCACATGAAACCTAAAGCAATCCCTGCAAATGTATTTACAAATACGTACACTTTTCACGTCTGTTAAAATAAAATTAATTTTTAGTGTCATAAAAGACAATCTCTGGGTTTATGGTGCTGACCATGACCCACAACATCAACAATCAACAATATCAACAATATCCAAAATGTTTAAAATTAAAAAAGGACAGTGGCCTCTTATCAGTGTAGTGTCAAACCTTCCTGAAAGAACTGGACAAGCTTTAGGTTACGCTGGTTTCAATTGATAGATTTGTCAGCAGTAGTATTAGTAGTTGTATTGTTGTGTCTGCACTTCTGCAAGTAATGAGATAAAATTAAGCTTACCTGAGAGTGTTAATATAAAATCTCAAGTCATAGAAGCATCGTACTGAATGATGACTGTTTCCATTCACAGCAACTGCTTTCTCAACCACATGTGCTCAGAAAACTACAACATGGTTGTCCGAGTGTTTCTCTGTGGCTGTATCAATGCAAAACTACACTAAGGATAAATTACATCTAGTGTCTAAGTGTACTAGAGGTTGGATCAATATTTTGGCTGATATAAGCTTGTTATAGATGTATTAGTGTATGTGCATGTTTGCAAAGTAGCAACAAATTGCAGAACAGAAACCCCAAAGATATTTGTAAGTCATTTAGAAACAGTGCCTCCATTACAGGGTTTGTCGACCAGAAAGAGGTTTAAACTGCGAGAACGTGCCTGCCCAGTACATAATGCTTGGTCACAATTTCTTAATAGCCTTATTTAAGAAATCTTTATCAAAAATGCTTATCTTATACGTCCATGTAAATCTGTATCAGCCAATATAGTTTTATCAGATTTTCTAAACCCTCAAATATCGCTAAAGCCCGTCTCATAATGATTTCCATATTAAAAAGTGTTAGATCTCACCAAGATAAAGAGGATTTCAGTAATAACTGAGCATCCACTGAGCTCCACATTCACTGGCATTAAAAGTACCGTGCTCACACACATACAGACACACACAGACACACAGACACACACACAGACACACACACACACACACTGAGGAGTAGAGCTAGAAGATCCCTATTGCCATATATGATCAAAATAAGACGGCTTGGCAAGAGAAGGAAGGTCAGCAATAAACATCTGAGCCTAACCCCTGATCCTCTTCCTGGTTCAAATCAGCCTGTCCCTCTGAAGGATGTCTTAACCTGGAAACGAGACGTGCTACTAATGCAGGGAAGATCAAACAAGAACAATTCAATCGATGAGGACTTGGCAAACGACTGTGCATTAAACCTCTGCCTTGGATGGTGTGCTACCAAACCAGCCACAACCTTTTGGCTGTCGAGCCAACTTTTGCCCCAGTCAGACCCATTTCTTGAACACTATGCTTGACAAATTCTCTGATGACCAAAAATGTCTTTCTGACGTCACTGTAGGGATTTTTGACTAATCACCAGACATTCTGTTCCTCAGATTTCATGTGAAACCCACATTTTCACAAAAAGCGAATGCCAACTCGAACACTGACAGCTTGACTGGGAGCTTACAGTTTACCTCGGTCAGCACTTTGGGAAACCCTAAAGCGTTTGCCCTTCCATCTCACTTTACTGACCGACCGCTCGCTCCAGCAGTTCATTTACCCGATGCAGCAAAGGCCACAGCTCCTGGCCCGCTGTGTTTTGACCAAGTAGAGGCAAACCACTGGTCTGTGGAGCAGGAAGCTGGAGGTATGGCCTGATATGGCCCTCAGTGACAGGCAGCCAGACTCTGGGCACTGCTGCAGCCCTAAAAGAATTGTTATTTTCTGACCAAGTGGGTAAAGCTTGAGGTTGTTGTAGCTCTTACCTACAAAACTAACCATAACATTCACCCTCCCTGTATTCTTAGTCTGGAAACTTCATGCCTGTGCCTGGCATGAAATGGAACCAAACCTCATAGCTGCTGTCGAGACAAAGCTATTTTGGCAACGTACCCTGGCCATATCGTAAACCCTGCCAGGAAGAGAGAGACACACACACAGTGGCAGGGTGGACCTGAATTAGTGTGAGAAAAAAACATTTTGTAGGGGGAAATGCTATAAGCACCAATGATAGTAGCTCTTATATCAATCTAGAGCTTGAACATTTAGAAGAATAATCAATTAGTCTGTCAATCAACTATTTTGATAATGTATCAGTCAAGCAAAAATGCCAAACAGTCACTGGTTTCAGCATCTCAAATGTGACCATTTGCTGCTTTTTTACACTAATCAAATTATCTTTGCAGTTATGGACTTCTGGGCTGGTCCAACAACCAATTTTAAAGACGTCACCTTGGGCTTTAGGATATGACTAATTTGTCAAGTTCTCTTTCTAAAGTAGCTTAAAATTACTTAATTAATCAAGTCATTTAATTAATCTGTCAATTTTTCTGATTAATCAATTAGTCTATAAATATTTTATCTAAAATTATATAAAACAGAACTACTACAACTGCTCTTGCTGGAGAGCTGGAACTAGAAGTAAATGGCATTTTCGCTTGATAAATGACAATAATTATTTAGATTATCAGAATTGTTGCTGAATCAGTTTACTTTGATCAACTAATCGGTTAATCGTTTCAGCCCTACCCTACATTAATCATTCTATAATAACTCCAGACACACAACATCAGATGTGATCTGAATTATGATACCTTAAAAAGAAACTGCATGCCTCCACACTAAGATATTTCAGGACTACAGCTACAGCTGTGTGCAGTAACACATTATGTACAACTAAAACTGAGAATACTTAACCAGAAGGTTGTATACATTGCCTTGAGCCTCGCTGAAATGTAAAACCCATCCCCTCTACATGCACTGAACTGCAGGGCAGATAATGACAGAACAGCTCCCACGACATTCAACTGAAATTAATAAATGTCCAGTTCTAAATATGCAGCTCAATTTCTCTTTCTCCTTCCCCTTTAAAATATACACGATGGAACGTAAATTAAATGTTCAGAAAACAGAGGTTGTCTTCTTCCTTCAGTGAGTTGCGGAGAGGCAGGCAGCTCACACAGGGCCGTGGGCCTGAGAATAATGCCAGGGGATAATAGGAGTCAGTGACATCTCAAAGTCTGAGCAGCGGATGTGTTTAACCAAGCCTATTAAGACCTGCGCTAATCCTGCCTTACACGTCCTTATCCGGGCGTCCACTGACAGCCTTAACTCACACAGGATGGGCCACTTACACCACGACTGATTGCAGTCCTTGCTTGCTTACTGCCTCTCACACACACACACTGTGATAAGTGTTTTTAATGTCTGCTGTCAAAATCAGGGATATACTGGAAAAACGGTATTAAAACATCTGATGCAAAAAGCTGTGCTTGAGACGAGAGCGTAAATGATCACCTACATTTCTGCATATCCTGGAATCACACAGTCAACCCATCCCTTCATTGATCATCAGGCAAGAGAAATTTGATGGCAGCGCACAGGCAAATCATTTTAAAACTGCGACACAAAAACAAACACCCCTTTCAACCCAGCTCACCTTGGCCACCAGGTAGAATAGAGTGCAACAGCGATTTAAATGTATGACACAGAACAGAATATGTCCCATCAACAAGCGTGGCTCTAGTGTGGCCTACTTCTCGAAGCAGAGGTATTCAGCAGGGAAATGAAAGGAGACACACATGTCAAATAACCAGGGCTGCTTTAGGTGGGCGAGAAATGGGAGCAAACGTTTTGAAACTAAGCATGCAACCTAGATAATTCTAATTGTCCTAAAATTGGACACCTGCCTTTTTTTTTTTTTTTTTAAACCAAGGAGCTTTCACACTTATCTGTTGTTTTAAGTGGCTGGTGGGGTCACATCATGCACACCAGGTTAAAGTTAGCCTGTGAGAAGATGCATGCACACAAAATAGATGTTCCTGAAAGCAACGCATAAGTACATTTGTGATAAAGCATAGGCTATTGTTCCTTTTTGTGTCCACAGAACTATGAATCAATGCAGTACAGTGCAACTTATTCAACAGCAGCTCCCACCTGCCCACACACCAGCTATAAAAATAGCTAACCTACTCAGCTAGACTAGAGGATGAGGGGGCAAATCCCTCAGTATCCTTGTCCTCTGGATGGGTAGATTTGTGACACTGTGTGTGCAGACTAATAATTAAAAGAAATTGATAAATGAATGAATGGACCCCAAGCGAGGTCTAGCTGAGGCACCTGAAGCCTCATCCAGTTGTACAAATGTTATGCAACCTGGTGAAAGCAACAGTGGAAAGCAACCCATAGCTGCTTCTTCCATTATCAAGTGACCATCTTCACCCCTTTTAAACCGCCACTAGCTAACCAACAAACCACAGTGGCAGTTTTAAAGCTGGCCAATTGATTAGGGGCTAGTCAATAGTGTCAAACTGGCCCACTGACAAGCATGTGGTAGCCTGTAAACGGTGACATCTTAGTAACTTCGATGCCAAATGCGCTGCTGTCTGCACCCCAATGCAAATGCACACACTCGAATAGAGAGACTGTGTCGCTGCTAAGCCACTTCTTGCACATATGCATCTGGACAAGCCAGCTAACTAATATTAACCCCGAAAGCTTAAAAAAAAAAAAAAAAAAAGACCAGCCACGCATTTCGCCTATATGATGCCATAAAACGTTTCTCATACTGAAACCAGGCGTCCAGCTAGCAACCTTAACTAGCAGCATATTTGCTAGCACTGCCAAGAAGGCCCAAGAAGCTTAGTTTTTTTTTTTTTTTTTTTTTTTTTTTGGTTAACCACACAACGACGCAAGACATGACAATTAAAAAAATGTATCTGAGAATTAGCATGCCACATACCGAGAAGAAGTAATTTCAGCTCTCTCCTGGAGTCTCGCTTGTCTCGGCGGAGTTGTTTGTCAATTTCTGCATTGATTCGTTTCGACTCCTTCGCCTCTTCGCTCAGGCAGCAAGCCATCATGGACTCCAGAGTCATCCCCTCTGGTTTTGGCAGCCCAGTTTAGACGGGACCCTGCAAACACTTGCCCACGGTTTCGGCTTCTCCCGAATCCCCGGTGCTCGCCTCGATCTTGGGCGATGAGGTGGTCTGTCGGGCTGGACGGACGGATGGATGGATGGATGGACGGGACTGGGGGAGGGGAGACTAGCTAGGGGCCTCGCTGTCAAGTTGTCCCCCCAGCCGAGAGCAACTGCGACTTCACCCGGGTGTTCTCGGCAAATCACGGGAGAATCGGACAGGGGGAGGGAGTGGAGGAGACGGTGGGGCCTTCCCCGAGATGCTTAAAAAAAAAATTACCGCAACAGATTAGCCACTTAATACCTGCCTTTATAGCATTAACCCCTCTCTTGTCACTTCCAATTCTATATGTTCGCCTGTCACTGTGGTCCAACCCCTATCTTTTCACAATCCCGTCAAAAAGTGGTTAAAAAAAAAAAAAACCCGTTAACAGTTGATAGCAGTGCAGGCTCGCCGACGTTAGCTAGCTCGTTCACCGCTAGTAGTAGTCCTGGCTCGTACGCTAACGTTCGCCTGATAACCGTTAGTGCACCGTCCCCGCCGCAGCAATGCGTCCGTTCACCTTAGCAACTACATTAGCAACCGTTGGCTAAATAACACGTAACGGCTACGAGCGCTGCCCTGCTATTAGCCCCTGCTAGCTCGCTTAACGACGCCTCGGCTAGTGCTGTGTCAACCCGCAGTGATTCAAACAGCGAGCTGGGTTGAAGGAATTTGTCCGCCTAGCTAGCGATAGCAGGGCAGCACCCCATCGCACCGTGACTCATTTTGACGGTGAAAATACACGGCTACCACCACCACTACCGCCTGAAAGAGGGGGTAAAAAAAAAAAATGCGTGCCGGACCGGGCGGCTTTTTTTTTTTTTTTTTTTACGCCAGAAATGTATTCGCTGCAAACAGCTGGCTTTCGGGTAGCTCGTCGCTGGAACAAGGTCGGCACACACACCAGTCTGATGCCAAGCGAAGAGGAGGAGATACTGTGGTGTTGAGTGACAGACGGGAGAGTTGCATGAAACAGGCTTGTGACAGACCAATTGAATGAACGAGGCGGGTCCTCCAGGGTGGACTGTGGGCGCACAAGTTAGGTCGATGAGAAGAGAGAAAAAAAAAACCCTCAATATGTATGAATTAGGAGGATTGTTCAGATTTATATATTCTTCTAAGGCAATGCATGCGAGGCCACCACCTGCTGCCTGTGTGCTGGCACAATACTTCTCTGGTCTGGTGCAACGTTGTAACTGATCATCAAGACACAATGCATCCCAATAAGGAAGATAATCCCCATCACTTCATCAATAACCTGCAGTAATAATGCAAAGCAGCATCAGACAAGACAAATTATTAGCTACGACTGTGGTTGGATGTATGCTGGGACAGCAGCGACATCTTGTGGGCGTACAGTACACTTGCATGTAACATCTGGTCACAGTGTTCATTCAATAAATGCATCAGGCAAGGAGGAAGAGGCTTGGTAATTCAGGAAAATGTGGGATCATTGGGCGCTGGAAATCTAAAATAAATCAAATCTGGCATAATGAAAACCATGACTTTATTAAAATGTTGAAACTTATAATGAGGTTTCCTATTTTTATTTATTTTTTACTGGGGTTATACATGTGTACTGGTATTGGTGACAGGAAAGAGCCTTGTTTTTATCCACACAAAAAAATGTTAATAACTATTAAATAGGCTATAAATTATCCTGGCCATTCAAATTAATGTTAAACCACAACATCATAATATAGACTGCATTTCTCTAAGGACAGATTTCCAGCCTCCCTGAGCTATCTATCTCATTTTAATCACCTATAACTAACTCTTTTAATACTTTCAGACCCATGTAATGTGCAATATTGGTTTCCAGTAGCAAAATATTTTTTTATATTTTCCTCAACTTTATAACAAATGTTACACACTGGTTACAAGTTTACAAAATAGGTAATGAGACAACATCAAAGATAAGATGAAACCAATATATACAGCAAACTTACGGTAAACAAAACTGGAATCTTTATGGAATGATGCATTACATAAAAGTGTACACAACTGAATAAATTAGCACAGTGTCATGATGATTATATATACTGTCAATGGTCATGATAGATAGAAAAAGTAGTATAGCCTCAGCAACCCATTCAGGCTGTGATGCTTATTACGTAACAGAAAACAACTGTTTGTTAGATGGGAAAATGGGGGGGTACTTTATTGCTTTAGTGGGGCACATGTTAAGATTAGCCACATGGTGGCACCAAAGTAAACACACATTCCTGTCTGAATCAAAAGTGTTTTTTCTCCATTATTCCCATTATTATTTTTGATTTTTGAACATCTCAGACTTGGTTTCACAGGCTGAGGTCTACATTGGCAGATTTAGCTTATTTTAAATCAGTCTAAGCTTTACCTTGTCCATCTGCATTTAGGTTCCATTAAAAGTATTCTGTAACTGTAAGGATTTCAGTAACATTAGTCTTTATGTGTAGGAAGCTTTTTTTAATTGTTCTGCTCTTCAAAATAGTCACAGAAGAGGTGTCGGACCTCCTCAGCATGACTTTGGTCCATAGTGGTTGAGAGGAGCTGCTTGTGGTCGGGCTGAGGGCTCTCTGACTCGGCCACCTCCACCTGCCACTCTGCCTTGAAGGCATCTCCGTGGGACTCGCACATGTTGTGCAGAATGCAGCAAGCTAGAATCATGGTGGGCACCACGTCCAGTCCACAGTCGTTCCTCTTGCTCAGGCACTGCCAGCGCGCCCTCAGCCTCAGCAGCGCCTCCTCAGGGACACGCAGCGCTCTGGTCAGCTGCCGGTTAAAGAGCCGCTGTGGCTCTGTCAGTGCTGCGTGGCTTGCTCTCCTGCCCTTTTCCTCAGGGTAGACCTTCATTAGCCAGCTCTGGAGAGGGTAGCAGGCCTCCCCCAGCAGCACATATCTAGACACGGCAGATGGTTTTCAGTCAGTTCTAGCACACAGGGGAAGACTTGACATCCTAAGAAGACACTGCAGCATTGAAACATTTCCCTAAGGAGTTCGGACATATAATCTAAGGTTAACTTAGGAAGCAAAGATAATTAAACCTCTGTATATTACGAGAAGAGTTCTGGTTCATTTTGTACAAATCAGTACAGAATCTCATGAAAAATAAGATTTATCCAAAAATAAGGTTATAAACAGGCTCAAAAGTGTGAGAAAGACATGATATAAGTCCAAATGTTATGTCATTTGGACAATCATTCCCTCTCCATCATGAAATTTGAAATCTAAACCTAAAACAGCTGTTTCAAGGCTGGATGAAAACATAAAGGGAAAAGAGGGAAAAGACTTACTTACTTCTTTCCTCAAGGTGGAAATTTGTCATTAAATGCCTGAAAAATTGTGACCTGCTACTGAATTGAATCGTAATTCAACCGTCACGCTGTTGTGCTTTAACTTTACCTGAGTGGTTTCCCCATGAAGATAGGTGGTGGTTCAGGCGACAGTCCACCCTCTGCAGCCGTGGCCCACAGCGATGAGTTCTGTAAAATGTCAGCTGGGTCCGTCCCACCCGGGAAACTGGCACATACATCCCAGAATTGCCCCCGGCCACTAACAGCCACCTGAAACGCCAAAGAGACAAAATGTTCAAATCTGGTGTGAGACTACTAGTGAGCGTGTATTTGCAGCAGCATGTATGGATACACTCTCTACCTGAGACAGCACTGAGAGCCAGCCAGCAGGGTTGGCATAGTCAGACGCGTTGTTCGATGGGGTGATGATAGCCGTGTGGAGTGTTGCTATGGCAGCGACGCAGTGAGGGAAGCCCCAATGGGACAGGAAGAGCTGGGCTGAATCCTCCAGCTCCTGCTCACTGGGGGGCCGCAGGTAGATGGAGCTGAGGAGCGCCACGATGGCGTGACACATGTCTCTAACACACCTGCACACGGTGGACTTGCCCACGCCAAACAGGGTGCTTATGGTGCGGTATTCAATGTTGGACGCCAGACGCCACAGAGCCACCGCTACACGTTTCTCCACCGGCAGCGCCAGACGGAAGCTGGTGTCCTGCCGAGCCAGACGGGGCCTCAGCTTATCACAGAGGTAGAAGAACGTCTCCCGGCTCATCCGGAACTTATCCAGCCAATCAGATGGCTGGAATTCTGTCATCACCACCCGCTCCCACCAGTCAGTGCTCGGAGTGGTGGTCCAGGGGCGTGTGCGGATGCGGACATTGGAGCGGATGCCTCCTGCTATCATCATCTGAGGAGAAGAAGATCAATAATATAACAAAAATGTCCTTCAAATGAATTACTAATAAGATGTTATCCCTGTAGTCAGTCTGTCTCTTAGAAAAGATGTTGAGACCATTTATTATAAGCCTTAAGATATTTGAAAAAAAAAAAACAACTGAGGTTTTTGGAAGAAACTTTCTGACTTTGTAACTTCCAGAGTTCACCATGTTTTTTCCCTTAAATGGGAAAATGTGTCGTTTGGTTTCTTTTCTACCTGATACATTTTATTATACTTAAAGCCAAATTTTACATTCATAAATACTCTTAATTGCTCTATCACTCTAAATACTTCCCCCCTGCTCTGGTTTGTGAAATTAAAAACTATATCTCTATTATTGCTTTTAATGCAAACAGAAAATATGTCATAACCATGTAAATGGTAAAGGGACTGTACTTATATAGCACCTTTCTAGTCTTCCTAGTCAAAGCACTTTTACACTACGTGCCACATTCACCCATTCATACACATTCATACACTGATGGCAAACGCTCATCATAAACAAAAACTTATCCATTCGTTCACATTCACACACAGATGCACAGCATCAGGAGCAATTTGGGGTCTTGCCCAAGGACACTTCAACATGCAGCCGGAGGAGCTGGGGATTGAACTGCCAACCTTCTGATTAGTGCACGACCCGCTCTGAGCCACAGACACCGTCTTTTATTTAATCTGTGCCTTTTTGGTAAGATCTACGTAGCCTAAAGGCCTTTATGGTATTGTATGCATAGGGGTCAAACAATTTGTGGATTAATCCATTAGTTGATTGAAAAATAATCTGCAATAAATTTGATCATTTATTATTCATTTCAGTCACAATTTCCTGAAAAAATGCTAAACATACTCTGATTCAGGGTAGTCACTTCTGAATGTTCTCTGTTTTATATGATTGTAAATACAATATTTTCTGTCCATTGTACTTTTAATTCCACTTTAGCTACTTCAAAGTAAGTAAGATTCAAAGTAATAATACAAAATATAATCAACAAATAAATCATGGTGTATTATGCATAAAGATAAGACTCTATTGATCCCTTGTTGAATTAATACCCAGCAGTATACACAGTAAAAAAAATAAAATAAGCCCCACTTCTACCAGCTGCAACCGTGAAGCGATGCACACATGAATGCATTAATAATTATAATCCATGTTATAATTTACATTATTGTTATCATTATATAAATGAGTCATTCTGAGTATATTTCCAATGCAGGACTTTAACTTATTCCACAACCAGTATTTCTACTTTTATTCAAAGGAAGTAATTAAAAGCAATAAATAACGATGTCACGTGTATGTAATAGACAGGAACATTTAACTCTACACAGCTCTATGACGGTGGGGTGAGACAGAGAGGGAGGGGCTCACCATGAGCATCCTCCTCTGCCTCTGGAAGAAGTACTGCCGATGTCTGATGCGTCTTTGGATCTCATTGCGCCTCTGCACGTTTGCGTTGTTGATGTCTCTCCTGCGCTTCATCAGCATGTAGGTCATGAGGAACATTAAAGAGCGGAGCAGCTCCTCTTCCTCCATTTTGACAAGTTCAACCGGAAGGCAACGCGCCAGATGTTAAGTCATGCTAGTTAATGAATGAATATAAAACATCTTGTTGCTGCAACTACCGTCAATGTATCATATGGCTCATATGCATCCGTGCTGTTAGTGGAGGCTTCCGCTTTCTTCTTGTTTGTGTCTGTGTTTAACCACCAGAGCGGTGCTGCCCCCTAGTGGCTGAAACTGAGTAGTGGTGGAGAGAGGTTGTTACATTATTTTAAATGGGAGGAAAATAACATTCACATAGGTACTGTACTTAAATACAGTGCAAAAATATAATTCAACTAATAAATAATGATGTATTTAATTGGTTTAAGTTACTCAGAAGTATATAAAGTAGCCTAGTGAACATCAATTTGCACAATCTTTCTTTTGTATTCAGTGTTTATTCCACAGTATGTTTTCTGCTACAGTGCCTTCATCGGGACAGCATACGAGAGTGGCTCCTGTTTCTAATAAATGAGAGAATATTATCTTAAAATATAATGCAATACAATTCTACATCACAAAATATAGCCTCTAAAATGACAGAGTTGAATCAGCATCCCATCTCAACAAAACATGAAAGTGAAAAAAGGGGGGGACAAGTTATTACAGGATTGCATTAGATGTACATCAGTCAAGTGTATTACTTTCTAGTGGAGAATTTCATGGCATAGGTTAAACAGTGATTGAAACTGACAGGATGAATACAGATTATCAAGGAATACAGGGAATCATTGTTCTTCACAGCAAAGTAGCTTCTTGCTTAGTCACAGCAGATGTCGATTTCTCATCTCTTCTACTTTAATAAGTTCAATAACAGACCTCAAGCATTATGTTCAGCAATTAGTGTTAACCTTCCAAACAATGGAATTATTGGGTTTAGTGTATCTGTGAGTGCTTTTTATTTCCTAATATTTAGGTGTTTAGTAGCTTCAGGCAACAGTAGGTTAGAGGTTAGAGAAGGTAAGACGGAAAGAAACAATTTACTCTAGAATATACTTTAAATGGCTGTACATTCAATAATTATGAGAAAACCCATAAGAGACCTAGGACAGAACTTTCACCCGAGTGATGAAGAGCTCTGCCGCTGCGTTCTCGAACTCCTTTGCGTCCATATCACCGCCCGGGCCTCGTGTCTGTGCTCCAGCTATGGCCTGAGCTAGTTTGTATGGCGAAATCTTGGCACTGGCCTCCAGGTAGCGTATGGCCTTCACATTGGCTTCCAGAGAGGAATTAGCTTTAGTGTTAGCATTAGTACAGCAGTTTACATCACAGCCTTGGGAAGTCTCCAAGGCTTCCTTCAAGGTCCCCAGCACGGCCAGGCACAGTGCCCGCGAGGCAGGCCCTTCATCCGGGCAGCACACCTCAGCGTAAAGCCTCTGAGCCTGCCGGATGTAGTCTGAGAAAACCGCACATGTGAGCACGCCATGACGGAAGACATCATAAGGGACGGCCTCGTGGTCTTGGCAATGGAGGCGTCGGAGGAGCGGGGCGGAGGTGGAAGCAGGGACTCCACCTTCACTGCAGAGGCACTGCAGAGTCTGTGTGTAGAGGCCTCCTCTCACTCCTCCTCCTGTCAGGCTGTCGGTACAGGAGCCATCGGGGCCTTCGGGGACCTCAGCTGAACGTCTACAGGGCCCAGTGAGGTTCAAAAGGTCGTAGGCTACACGGACGTTGTTGCTGAAGGCAGATCTGGGTTTGAGATGAGAAATTGGATGAAAGAAAGCAAATCATTGCCTGTAGCAGTTAGAAGGAAACGCTTGTCTTTCAATATATTTCAGATGATTCAGTAATTTCGTTAAGCCCGATAAGACCAATACTCCCTGTATGGCTAGATACCGTGAAATGACCCTTTAAGTTACACAAGATTTACTCAAGATTTAAGATACCAACTTTATAATATATTGTCCGTCATAAAGGGTTTACAGGTTGGAACTAATGGTTTTATTAAATAGTTAATGAATTGTTTACACATGCTTCAGATCAGTTATAAGCCATCAATAAGTTCAAATCTTGGGTTGCCAGGTTGTGAAAAATCTCTCAAGTCGTTCAGTTATTAATAAAGGGTCAAGAGTTTATCACTTTCTGTCAGCGGTTATTAAACAGTTCTGTCAAACAGTCCTCCTGATGAATTAAAGGGATGAAAAGACGAATCAAGTGCCATGCTGAAGGAGGATAAACACCAATTACAACTTGGCAACCCAAAAGTTGTTCTTATTAATGACTTATAACTGTTCTATTAAAAAATTATTAACTATTTATGAACCCATTAGTGACAGGTTACAATGTATAAACCTTTTATAAAAGGGTGCTTTATTAGAAAGTGGGACTGGGTTGTTATGCTGAATGAGTGAGGACACATTTGTCATCACCATTATCTATAAAAAATATATTTAAAAAAACTGTATTACTACCTGTATTGTGACACCATTATCATTGTGGCCAAAATAGACCTGCAAACTGTGATAGTATATTATTGTGAGTTACTCCAAAACACCCGTGCCTAGTCATAATCACACACTGATCAAACCTGTAATTATATATTTACAGTTAGTCTACAGAGCAGGAGAGTCCGTCTGGAGTCTAACTTACCAGACATCCCGGGGTGACAAGCAAAATCACGGATATCTGAATTATTTAAATGTCTAGATTATAGCAGGGTGATAAAATTAGGTATTCTAATAGACTAATATTCCCTCATTTATTTTAGCAAAAAAGTCCTAAATGTGCCCAGACCTCTGGGAGTGATGCGCCAGCCGCAGGTGCCACAGCGCCCGGTTGAGATGCTGCTGTTCCTGCGCGCCTGCGCTCATCGGGCCGTTCAGCTGATCCCCGTCGCTGCATCCAGCTGTGCCGGTCTCCGTCACGGAGGCGAGGTGACAGAAGTGGTCGGCCAGGAACCCGATGGGATCGTCCGATCTGGCCTCGACCATCTTCAGGATGGCCCCGCGGAGCAGCTCTCCCACCCCGGCCTGCGACAGAAACTCCCTGTCGCTGTCCGACTTGGTGGCTTTGCCCTCGGGCATCCCTGGTGGAGTAGCCCCGGACCGGCGCTTCTCCTTCTCCGCCATTGGGGATGACGTACCGTGTCGCAGCAACAGCAGCGGAAGTGAGGAGACGGCTCGCCGGTCGGCAGACAGGAAATGGAGCAGTTATATCGGTTTATATCGGTGATCGATATCGCAATAAAACATCACAAAAGCATCAGAAATGATTGAAAAATGATTGATTACCAGCGGATGAAAAAGCCTTCAGACATGTCTACAAAACCTTATCACCATGACTCCCCTTTGTCGGTTTGGTTGCTAGGGACGCTGTGTGACGTCATAGTGTGCCCAGGGGGCCAGCCCTGCCCTAAAACAATATGGCGGGGTCCCTTGAGCTAAATCATCCCATCTAGTTTTTTCTAAATGGAATCAGCACAAAACTGAGATAAAAGTTGTGTTTTTCAATTAAATGAATCCAGCTTTTTCTCCCTTGTTCTTTTTTTTTAAGATAAAGTAACACAACAACACATTTTATAGACCTTCTCCATCTTTTACAACACCAGCAATGGCTCCATGTATGTTCTAGGGAATGGAAAACATTTCACATAACCCAAAAAAAGGAAAATACACTAGTGCAAACACCTAAAATCCAGTTCAGTTATACCAAATCAATACTTTTTTGATTCCTTACTTTGAGGAAGAGGTGTAGAAAGAACAAAGTAAGGTCTTGAACTGAATTAAACACAATGGCCTCACAATTTGGCAATTTTGTCAAATAATGTAAACAAATTACCAGACATTTAGTGCCAGCTTCACAGTTCTGGTTACTCCGTGCAAAGGAGATGTGTTTTAGTCCAAACCAAATAAGCACTGAGGTTTCATACCAGGCCAGTGTTGGAGAAACCCATTTGACTTAAACCTGCTATTGATTCAACACTGGTCTTATGTGTTCTTCTTATTCATTACCATGCGTTTGCAATAATGGCTATTACCCATTCATGCAAACAAAGTACATTTTTGAACTTGCTCAATATGGCAGGTGAGTAAAAGGAGACAATAAAGAATGACTCAGATATATTTAGTTAAAACATAATTCAATCTTTATTGAATATAGATAGCCCATGTTACTCTTTACCAAAATAATCAAAACTATATCCATCTAGCTTCACATAAAAAACAGATGTTTACAAAAAGGCAGTGACACACAGTAACACAAAATACAGTAAGTTAAGAAGACGCATCCGTCTAGCTGATGTACATTTAAACAACAAATACAGTATTTATCAAATTCATACTCACAGCTGCAAGATCAATATTACATTTGTTTGTTAAACATACAGACCTATTTCACACAACTATACTGTACAATTGTTTTTGACATTTGTATGACACATGGAAAGCTACTTAAATAAAGATATAAGCACCACAAATAAAACTAAATCACTGTATTTACGATATAAGATATTCAATACATGGTTAATTCTAAATAAATCAAAACAACCTGTAAAATATCTTTTAACAAAATAGCCTGCCTTTAACAATGTTACTCAGTGTGGAGACTCAAATGATTGTAGTCTAGGGGCAGACAAAGCTGCATGTATGTAAGTCAAATATTGCTGTACCACGCCATTCTTTAATATGCAAACACTAGTAGAATACCTATTATTTTAAATGTATCTTATTGACTGTGCAAACCAGTGTTACTTAAGTTATTGTTTCACAATGAAAGATTGATCAATGATGGCCTCTGGTCTGTTTATACAAGGTCAATTTACACTTATATTAACGTTTCAGTTCAATCTGGGCCATAGTGTTGAACTTGCAGTCATATTGCGTGCGCTGCGTCATCGACATGTGCACAGAAGCCATTTGTTAGAGGTTTATGGTTCCCGTTGGTAAGGGCGACTTTTTTCAAAGAAGCTGCATTGCCATTGGTGTACGTCACATGTGGATGCAGAAAATCTCTCTCCAGCTTGTACTCCAGCAGCATGTGGTTCTGAGGAGGAAGACTGAGGCACGCTCTGAAAAAGACAAGGAGGGAGTAACTGTAACTAAATGAAACACAAGAATCTTATTTTATTGTCATTAAAAGTGTAATTCTTCTGTTGAATGTGCAATGCGACCTTTGGGGCAACTGTGCTG